AGCGAATATCTTTGCGATATGTGGCCAGGAACATCACTACGAGATCTTCACGGGATTACCGAGGTCGGTGATGATGTACGAAGCATATACCAACGCAATATAGGACTGGATTCCTCGTGAAGACACGAATGATGAGCGAGTCGTATCCTGTTTCTGAGAACACATGAAGCGAGGTCCCGTTTTACGGGGGCTTTCCTGGTGGTGATGGAGGATCAGGATCTACTGCGAAGCTAAGAGAGGTGGTCAAAATTAGCCGTCGTAGGGCACACCACATCACTGGAAAGCTAAACGAGAGCTCCTGTGGGCATCTTGGAGGCAATTGCAGAACGAGACGGGAGTGGTGAAAATCCTTCCTCATTACCAATCGGGTCTGGTCGAGTCGGAGCGCCCGACCAGGGCCAGGCGGTGAATCCATGGAATGAATGGGCCTCACGCAGGCCGCTCCGTCTGGACAGGCAGCGACCAGAAATCAATAGGGACAAGGAGAATAATACTTTGCAGCAGCCATCTTGGGAATAAGACTCCCACGATCACCATCGGCTTCAGACCAACCGTGTACCTCCCCGTTCCCGCCCCCGTCCCTAGCCAAAACGTGCGTAAGCTAAGCATTGACGGCATGGGTCAGGGATACGGTCTGATGCCGCGCTCACGGCAGAGCAATTGACTTCTAGCGGCATTGGGCAACAGACATTACGCCGAAATGAGCCCTTATCCTTCCAGAAAGCTTATAGAAGGAGGGAATAAGCTGGAGAGCGGCATGGCAAGGATATCGCCCTGCGTCAGTCGGGAGACACAACGTAAGCGGTCTGTGTGTCCCATGTAGGGGTAACAGACGAACGCTTTTTGGTCCATTGCCCTGGCTTCCCTGCTTTTTTATCTCGGTGCCTGCTGCCTCTCACCTCATCCACCTATAAGAGTAGGACGAAAGAGAAGATGGGCGGGATGATGAGACAGGGGGGCGATTTAAAACTTTTTGCGAATGACTTCAGAGCGTGTATCGGAAGTGCCGAAAGGGGAGATCCGCATGGTTACAGTAGTATTGGATGCTTGGGTCCTTGGCCGTGGTCTTGGTTCTGGTCCCGGTCCTGGTTCCGCAAGCAGGCGATCGAATAGTGGCAAGCTGGCATGGAGGTAGCGGTGCTAGTTCGTAGACACATTTCCTACCTGGGCTTCGACTGCATCAACGACTGTCACTGGTCTCTGGAGATGGCAGGCAACGGACCCTTTTAAGCCTCATAGGGGTGGCATAGTCTAGCCCTACCAGGCTGGACCACTCTACTTGAGACTGTCTTGCGACGAGAGGATGGGCGATGCAACGTACGTTTCTCACGGATACCCAGGGTGTAACGGTCGAAGAATGGGCACTTCGGCTCCTGGAATGATGGGGTGACATCGCCATGGCTGTCATGTGGTGGCCAAGCCTCCAGGCGCGCGCATATATGTATGTATTCGAATCTCAACCCTAGGCCGGGGCTAACATGCAGATAGATAAATGGATAAACTGCGACTGGAAGACGGCTCGTCCACAAGAGCCATTTGCGCGTGTCTGTGTTTTCGGGGCTCGTGGGCGTTCTGTTGGTATTGTGGATTTGTTGCCTGTGTGTATGTATGTGTTGTTGGGTGGTTCTATATGCACCTGCGACTGGACGAGCAACGGTCTCAGACGCATATATCTCGCAACATACTACATAGGTACTTTGGGAACGAGACTGTCCGTGATGTGTAGGTCGATATGCAGCAAGCAGGCATGGGGACACCACACGGTCGCCAGATGGGGTCTCGATTCGGCGGCATTACACGCCGACTTACAGACTCAGACATGAAGTACTAATATAAGCCAGACAGTATGCATATGCATCTATATGACGTGGTGTTATTACAACATGCAGCAGGTGGTAAGAAGGTAATTAATCCTGCCTGTCAACGAATCCCCTCCCTTGAACCACGGAGCAACAGAGACCTCCCCCAGAAAGAGCCGGTGCTTGGCTCAGTTGGCCTGCCCTGGCCAAATCCCCAAGCACGCCCTGGCATATCCAACTGCCGCGAGCAAGACACGCCCATAATACGTATGTACGTCTTGGAGTTGCTGGGAGCCGGCTCCAGCCCGTGTGGGCGGTTTCAGTTGAGCGTTCAAGCTCGGCCTCTCTGCGATCCCTGGCCCTTGACTATCTCTCCTTCCATGTCTCGATCTTCGCTGGCTGCCTTGCACGACCAACCTTGTAAGTAGAGGATATGCCCTGAAAGGGGGGGTTAAGCCCGCCTGTGCGACGGCCCAGGAGCAGCGTCTTACGCGTACTGAAGCCACATCTTGCCGTATAAGTCGTAGGCTCACTGATAGGGAGACGGCACATGAGAGCGGACTCGCCTTCAATCATCATCCGGGACAGGGGATGGGAGGGAGGAGGGGGGTCAGTTCTCTCATCATTCAGTTGGGAATATCCTTGCTCTGGTTCTGGGGAACGGGGAACCCAAAAACAGCTCAAACACGGGCATCTGGCCCCGTCAACGTCTCCCACACAGTTGTGATGTCGTATATGGACTCAACCATACATATATGTGTGTGTAGCTATGCATGCAGGTCGCAGTGGCGCAATTACTACTCACCCAAAGCCTATTACCGGGCATTGGAACAAGAAAGTTCTGGGCCACAAACAGGTCGCCCTGACAGAAGACATAATAATAGGAATGCAGACCCACTGGGTAAGAGTTTGATTATGGTCGTAGGAGAATGAACCAACAGACAAACGATCCTTCCTGTCTTCCGTCTCTCCTCCAAGGCCACGGAGTACGGAGTACGTAGACACGCAGCTCGGCGGTGGATGGACTGGGGCATCTCCGTAGGCCGGCAGTGAAATGAATCGCCAACTATTATCAAGTACCTATCCGCGGGTGGTTTCCAAATGGCAGGGCGCCATCCACAATGCAGGCGAGCAGCAGGGTAACATCGCGCACATGCACGTACACACACACGGACACACACACAGAAACAAGGCCACCACCGTTCTGGTCGACCGCGATTGGACGAGATGCAATTTAAGATAGACGAGCCCTCCTGCTTGCAAAACGGAGGCCAGGTAGGGCAAGGCAAGGCATAGTATCGCATGGCATGTCCATGCCATGCCATGTAATTACCTACAGCCCGCGTTTCCACCACGTACATGTATGGTATAGGCACACCCCGTGCAAAAACCGCCCGAGATGTGCCCTTCCTTGCCTTTGCCTGCCGTGCCATGGGATGGGACATTCTGGTGACGGTCCCGAGGGTCCGAAACACCTGCACACAAAACAGCGAGCCAGACAAGACAGCCATTCCACTCGGTGCCGCCAAGGCGAGACAGGACACCCCCTTTTTCCCTTGCGGACGCGCTACTCCCCCGCGGGCTTCAACCCCCTTACACAGCCCCCTTCAGCCCTAGCAATGGCCACTCAAAAGGGCACTAGAGCTGCAGGGTTGACGCAATGGTCATAACGAGACGAACTCCAGATGGATCTGGCACACACACTCTCGCGCGGAACGAGAGGGAATTGGAAGGGCAGCGAGAAAAACCCTGCCGTGCTCAGGATGCCGCCTTTTCAGGACGACGAGGCCTTGCTTCCTACATGTCTATGACTTCGGACTGCCATTCTCTCTGGGTGCTCGCACATGATAGTCGGGCGTGCTCCACCATCGTGGCGCAGCTCCGCGGGAAGTGGAGGCCTCAAAAGTTCGTTTCCAGCCTATCCACCCGAGTTGCGGGTTCACAGCATTTGCTGGATCCTCTCAACAAGGAGGGAGGACATACATACCGACAGAGGGCAGGCTGCCCTGCTCCCAGGTATTCCTCCCGTGCCATCCGGGTCCTGGGCAAATATGCCTCCGTCCCTCTGCACCCAGCCCTACTACTGCCCGGAATAGGTAGGTATGTTGGCATCCCCGATTATTAATGCGCATCGACATGCGAATCTGCCGTCAAACCCCCCGAACTCACGGCTCATCGGATTGCTCTGTATGTGTGTGCTGCGCGCCATATATCCTGTTGCTGGGTAGGCCCCGGGGCTGTCGGGAGAGGTAAATAGGTGATGTGAGCATGTGGCTCCAGCAGAGCTTCGTTGGTGACGGGTTTGATGGTTGTAGTACTATTTCTTGCTATAATTCTAATCCTCCCACACCCTCAAGCCAACGGGGTTTCGGCGGGTTTCGTTTCCCGCCTTGTCTCAACCACTCACAGGCGCAGAATTGCCCTTTTGAAGGATGTAGCTCCTGCTTGAGATGGACGTTGCTGCTGCTGCCTATTAGCCATCGCGCGCGGCCGCGATATCCAAACGCTGCCAAAAACAGTCATTCGAGTTCATCCATCCAAGTGAGCCTGCCCAGATATTTGGTAGGGCTGACGGCTCCACATTCTGGGCGATTTCCCTGGTGCTAGGAATAACCTGGAATCTTTAGGTTAGGTAGTCTGTCCGGTGTGCGGCACAGTTGTGTTGTGGTGAGGGGGTGCCAAGCCGAATCAGCAACGACATGGCAGTTTCGGAACGCCAGCAGCGCAATGACTGGCCCGGCTCGCGACGATGCCAGAGCGCCATGGCCATCGATACGATTGCTAGATATACGCATGCAGCTATTTTCGTAGGAATCTGGGCATGTACCCTGGAGTGGGCCGCCCTATCTGGTCGGCCGGCCTGCTGGACCAGGAGCCAAGCCATTCCTGCCGGTAACTCGCCACTAATAAGCTAAGAAAAAGAAACACGGCCGTTGGTTCCTTCGCGAAAGGTGTGTCCTGTTTTAACCACCGCGTGCTTGGCTCCTCAGAAACTGCTAGCTGATGTCGGCATTCCCTCCCCTCCCATCAGCAGGGTATCAAGCTTACCCTCTCTACCCTATTCGAGGCAATGGTGATTCCGGAAGAGGAGAAGCTCGGCCACCGTGAAACCCCACCTCCCAAGTCGGATGCGTTTGGCGTATCCACACCATCAGACCCCTGATGCCGTCCTGCCTGTTATGGTAAGCTTCCAGAACTATTCTAGAAATGTTCCATTTGCCATGTGCCACTGCTCCGGGACACCGTCAGGGGCGAGGCGACCAGGGAGCTGCAGGAGGGAAGCTGGCGGCCAGATGCGTGGCCAGCCACCTCCATCATGACGGCGATGGCCTCTGCCTGACGGGTTTCCGACTGGTTTGCCTCTGGGCCCCCGACGGAGTCTTCTCGCCACAGCGCAGGTGTCTCGCCCACATGTGTCCAAGCGACCGAGACCACATTCTTCGGCCGACGCGTATCGCCGGTCGCAGAGGGTTTCATGGGCTGCGCAGGTAATGTAGCTGCAAGCCAGCAGCAGCCAGGAGTGGGGTTTCCCAGGTCCCGTTGGTTGGGTGCCATGCCATGCAGCGCAACGATGCCAGCCATGGCGGCTACTGGCCGACCAACCATTGGAACAAAACTCACAGGCTCGCATTGGATCACCGCCACTGCCACCGTCAATCAGGGAGGGAGGGGGGCTGCGGGTGCATCGCATGCTGCTAAAATTGCCCCGAGGCACTTCTTGTGCACATCATGTTCCAGAATTCTTGGAAAGCTCGGCGAGGATGGTTGCATGGAAAGGGGGGGATGCCAAGTGTGCCCTACCTCTTGGCCCTTTGCCATGTCTCTTCCCCTTCTCTTAATTGATAACGAGACACGAGGGCCAACAGAGAATACACTTCGATGTTGTACTGCCGGAGGGCTAGCCTTGTACATGTTGCCCTGTCACCGTTACTGCACGTTTGTGCTTCCCTCCAGGGGCGTCGCACAGGCGCCATGATTGGCATGCAACGATGCGCCATTGCATACACAGTCTAGCTGGGGTCGCGGCCTCGTCGGCTCAATAATGCACCACCATTATGGGCGACAAGGCTGTTATGCCATCGGATCCGTTGTTCTACCAACTCGCCCCCGCAAGGCTCCCAATGTACCATTCATTCATTGTATTCGCAACCTCCTGTAAGCACCGGGCGGGGTTCTCGCAGGCCTAGTGCGTGCTAATTCATCTGACATATCCATTGCAAGTAATAGTCCTGTCAACCCGAGTTGGTCGGCGAATGACGACAGACTGATGTGCCGTGAGCGCGAGATGGCTACGGATTAGGAATTTCGCGCGGAGCATTGCCATTCTTATCAGCTACAGCGAGACATGGACGTCGCAGAGAGCAACAGGGACCCATCTCACGTCTGCCCTGTGCCGTCGACAGGTTAGGGGAGGGGGAACTTCTTCACCCATGCATGTTCTACCCTGAGACATGGATCGTATAGGGCAGATGAGGCCCACGGAAGAAAGGTGCAGCAAAAAAAGGAAAAAATGCCGTGCCAATAGCACAACACCAAGCGCCAAAACAATCGTCCCTCGCATAAGATCGAGGTAGCATCGCAAGGTAATATCGACCGGCCCCGTCGGTTGGTCTACTACGTACACAACTATCGGCTTGGCTACATCTGGTCCCTCGCGGGGGTCGGGAGCCAAAGACCCATCCCGAAGCCGATCGGGAGCCACTACTGCCAGCCGGAGTCTGTTTAACCTGTGTGTCATTGCATGCTGAGTATATGCCCCTCTCTATCAAATGAACGATATACGTACGCAGGAGGTTGATCCAAACTAACTGGATAAGCTAATTGTTTATGGGGTGTATTTCCGGTCGGTGAACATGCCAGGCCCGTCCTCCACCTACGTTCCACACGGGATCTGTCCAACCCTCATGCCAACCACACTCAGCCTAACGCGGCCTGCTAGGGGCGGAAGTGACACCTTGGAATTCCAAAACCGCTTTGTAATAAACGGGCGTCACCACCAACACGGAAAACCCAAAACCCTCCAGGCTGGAACAGGTCACACGTGTCGTAGTCTCCCATGAGCTGCTATGTCATCCTGGAGCCGCCTAACGATAACTGGATACGAACGCGCAGTATGGCGCAGCCCTATGGGCCTAGCGATTGATCCATGTCTCCCACCGAGACCAACTGAGACGGTCGATTCAGCTAGCTACCGAGCTACGGAAGGCTTCTCTCGCCCTTGTGCCATGGTGCGAACAGCCTGTGGAGAGCCCGGCCACTCGCAGCTGATGGGAGGCCATTGCTGGCGTGTGCGACGTACGACGTGCACTAGCTAATGGGGTAGTTTCGTAAAGCGAGGGGTCAATCTTGTCTTGCCCACCAGCCGAGGCTGTTGCGTGGCCCTAGTGCGTATTGGGTGTCGCTACCCATGATGGAGGTTCCCTTGATATTGGACGAGAGGTTGTTTTTCCCCCTTCAGCCTCTTTCCTCACCTTGCATTCAGCTATGCACTCGAGGCAGGGCCTAAACCGGGCACACACCACCCAATCTGGATAATGACCGGGGCCTACTCCATACACTACCAGCTGAAGCACGTTCCAATCTGTAAGCCACCACTTATGGGTGTTGTCGATTTTTTTCAAGGAAACATGATTCTTACAAGCCATTATCAAAGCCAAAGCAGGGAACAGTCAAAACAATTAGTCATTTTAGCAATTGCCTTCCCTTCCTGATCGAGGCAACAGCCTGGTATCCATGATGACCCCGTAGGGATCTGCGTACTCCAAAACAAGGAGCAGGACGAGCCGTAAATTAGCATGGCCCCACCACGATTGAATAGAGCGCCCCCAAAACTAGACTTCCCAGGAAAGGCAGCTGGAACTAGGTTGGGCTGGGAGCTCAGAAAGGGCTCGCTCCCAGGAATCCGGGTCGCCCAATGCCAATGGCCAGGGGACCAGGCTTCGCTGCCAAGAGAGCATGGACCAGGAAAACCAGCTGGGTGCGCCATGGCGAGCCAGCCAACCAACCCTACCTGCTACCTCTTGGGGGGGCAGGCCAATCCCCACCCGCCCGCCAGCACCAGCACCGCTAGCTGGCCACAGCGCTGACTACAGCAGCCATCAGCAGCCTCTGATAGGGCAGCTCCCCGGCAGTGAGGCACCGGAATATTGGACATGACCAGCTGGCGGCTCGGCAGTCACTCAATACTCCAAAGCAGGCAGCAGCTTTTCAGCTCTTCTAAGCAAAAAAAAAGGCGGTCGGTTGAGCATCGCCATCAGATTCGCTCGGGGGGCAGGCAGGCTCACTGGCAGGGCCTCTTAAATCCGAGATTTGGCTGTGTTCACACCCAGCCGGAGAGCAGCTAGAGCGAGGTTGAACCCCTCAGCTGGGGCGGTTTACGTCGCCGCTACACGATGCGATAGGTAAGGTATCGAGGCTGACCGGAGATCAATGCTAGTGTTTACGAATGGCCTTACTACCCCTCACGAGGCTCATCACAGCAACCCGTGAAATTGGACGCCCAGGCCAATGAGCTCTGGCGGAGGCAAGACATGAGAAGGGCCTCGCAATCTGCATGGCTGAGCCAGACGCGACCCTATTTGGTCCCCATCCGGCATTCTCCTTCTTGCTGCCCTGCTCAGCTCAGCAGGACCAGAAACTGGCCTGTAGCCTTCGAGTCAATGAGATTGGCTATGGGTTTGCTCCACCACCATGCCTCAAAATTGGAGATCCATGCCAATCATGCACACGCGGTGACTTCGACTCCCAATCCGCCTTCTCATTTTCCCTCTTCGTCATCATTGTCGTCTTCTTACTACACGCCTTAGCCTTGATGGAGGGCGGTCGTTTTCCGCCTTACAATTTCCTGGCGGTCCGAAATGGTGATCGGTCCCGATGATCCACCCCCAGTTCAGCCCCTTCGATGCCTTGACGCATCCAATGATTACTACTCCTTGCGGAGATGAATCCCGCCCCATGCCAAACTGACCACTACCCTGTATTGAAGCTTACATTGGCTGCAAGTTGAAGCCATAGAAGTGTATTTTTCCATCATCATGTGCCAACATGCCATTCCTTTACGTTTTGCATTGTTAAAAAGGCGGCCCGCTAGGCAAGATAAGCATGGAACTAACGAAAGCTATATCGAGCCGGCGTCAAGCGAGCGCCGTTGCTTCCAGATGAGGCATGCACGACGCATCCTCGATAGCTAGCCTCTGACTCGGTTGCACAGTCTAGTTGGTGATTTTTCACAACCAAAGATACTTACTCGGTTTCGGTTGCGGACATCGCCCGACCCCGAAGTAGCGAAGCAACGCACTAGCTCGAGGTAGTGGATGGACGGAGACCGTTTTTTTCTTCTTGCTCTTGTTGTATTTGACATCATTACATGGTCGGTTTGGAGTGCATTGTAAAACTCAGATTTCATGTCATGATTCAGACAAACCTCCACGCCCCCTCCAATACTTGCCATCGTACCCTCTTTCATCTCCGCCCCCGTGGCCTCGGGCATACTACTTGTTAGCTCCAAATGTCGGGCTCTTATTGTGTCGCCTTGGTTCCGCTCGCAGACTGGGATATGGGACTCTCTGCACAAGAGGTCAAGCCAGATTGAGGATCCCCCTCCGGCTTGGTCGCGCCCCACGCAGGGCACGCACCCAGAAGGCCATCTCCCACGAGCCTTACTAGATCGCCCAACTATACAGTATGTGGGTTTTACCTTGTATCGTGTGCTAGTCTCGGTGGCATGCCTCAAACCGGCCCAGCGCCGTCGCTCAAAGCTTGTTTTCCCGACAGAACGGGATAATGGCCCTTGGGTTTCATATAGAGCCCTCTCATGCAACCACCGAGAGGGCTCCGCGATCCAGGGGCTCGGGGCCAGAAGAGGGAGGGTGTGCCGTCGTTGCAGTCCAAGAAGACGCCTCGTATTCTCGGCCAAGAAAGATCTTTGGTATTTTTTCTTTATTTTTTCTTCGCCCTCGGCCCTGTATGTTTCCGGGTCATAATCCAGACCTGTTATGCCTATCATCGTCCAAGTTACGTTGGAACATGCTCTACAGCGTCCCTATGCAGCCACTCCCAGGAACCCCACCTGCAATGGTAATGTCCAGGTTGACGGGCAATAGGTGTGGGTTAAACCAGTCTCACCACTCCAGTGACTGACAGCCCTACTGCGACGTTCCAAAGTGAAATATTCTAGACGTCGTCCTCGTATCTGCTAGCCTCACTGTAGCATCATTGCGTATGATCCAGGCCCCCCCCACCAACCGCACCAGCACCACCTCCCTATAGATTGCACTTCACCAGCCCTATGGAGCAGTGATCGATGTAGATTAAGACCCCTTTACGCGCGTTCATACCCGAGGGGCGAGAGACTGCCTTGTATCACACGCGGAGAGCAAGGAAGGGGGGGAGGGGAAGAGAGGAGGGGGACCATAGAATCAAGGCTGCATGCATGTTGGGGCGAATCTCAGCGATGGGAAATGCATGTCATGCCCTATAATTACTTCGCCTCTTGTTGGCCGCCTTCCATGGCAGCCAAGCTTGCTTGGCACACAGGTCGTTGGCAGCTGAAGCTCCGAACCGGCTGGCCCAATCCCTGCGCG